GAGTTGGTGAGGAGAAGCTGAAATGGACAAGCTTAAGGGACCATGGGATGGAGGAGAGGTGGTTGAAATGGTGCTTTAAGTATAACGGCCTCAGGAGCAAGGCTGCGTGAACACTGGGAAATAAGACTCGGTGATCAATGCTTTTTCTTCTCACCTCTCAGCTCAACAGATATTGAAGAGGCTCCCCTTTCCTGCTGACTGAACAACTGTCACCCAATCTGTAGGACAGGTGATAATGGAGAGGAAAAAAAGCCTCTGAGACTGAAAAAAAGAATTAGAAAAAGCACATTTTTCACACTACCATCCATGAGTGGTGGAGAAGCTGGGTCACTGCAGCCAATCAATAACCTGCATTGCCATTTTCCTATACTAGGTGTGGCTTGGAGGGTTCTCTCAAAGTTTGTGCTCTTGTGCACATCAAGTCTAATCACTGAGCGCGCTGCGTGCTTCTCTCCCTGTTGTGTGCTCACCATTTGAGCGATCTGGCTTCACCAGCAAACAGATGACTCACACAGTTTGAGGTTGAACTGTGTCACGAGCGTCACCGCTTTCACTCCTGTGCTCTAATGCGTTTCGTATGTTGCTGATGCAGTGGGTCTGCTTATCCCCGAGATCGCACAGATAAGGCCGTAGCTCTCGTCCCACAGTCGGCCACCTGCTCAGATAAGGGCCAAGCACGAAGCAAGACGGGTAGGAACCTAACACTGCTGATAGCATCGCCGCGGTAAATCTCTGGGCTCGGAAATGCGTGGACGACACTGGAAAACAGCGTCGTAAAGAACATGAGATATCCACGATGCAAGTCCCATTTCAGTAATTAAAATGGACCGGGATGCAGAGGAGACGCTTGCAATACAGCGCATAGTGCTTTATTTCTCTCTTTCTATGCTCTACCTTGACAGAACTCATTCTCACACTGGGGAGGGGGGCTGTGCACAAAAAATGTGCACATGCATAAGCTCCCAACCTGCATCCACCATCTGGCCATCCCATGGCTCAGATGTCTCTGGGGTAAGGTGAACTCTGAGGGGTGCTCTCTGTGGATGTCACGTGTACGTGGGCTTTGAGGGAAGACAGTGAGAAAGGAAGCAGAGACGCAGAGAATGAGGAGGAGGAAGTGAAACACATTTTGAAAATGTGGGAAACCCTTCACAGAATGTTCCTCGCACTGCGTGCGCTGGAAGTGTTATAGTTTCACAGGAAAAGAAGCACTTTTGCAGGACTGCAGGTACACAAGCTGCACGTAGGGGGTTTGCACTGGGGGTCGTCATAGCTGAGTAAGCTGAGTAAGCTATGTAAGCGAACCTTAACAACAAGTCGTCTTTTCACTGTGGGCAAAATAAAGCCTCTATTATGGGATGAGGCCATGTCTGCTGCCCCTGCCAGCTATAATGTGTTTTAGAGCTATACTCACAACATGGGGACCCAAACGCACAATACACACATGGCTGTAAAAAACAAGGGAGAAATTGAATTCTACTTCAGGTGGTCCCAGGTCAGCAGTAGCGCCTGCGGCTAAAATACACACGTGAGCCCCTCACACAAATAATGCTTTATGTCTTTTTACACTTACCACATCAACCCACGAGCCTCGGTTCAGCTTTAATTCCTTTGTTATTTTTGTCTAATAATATGAAATGAGAGAGCAGAGGAAAAGAGCAATCTTGCATTAAAATCCATTAGAGACTCAACAGGATTCTTTTTGCAGGCTGGCTCCTCTGCACAGCTGGTGAGCGCGCACAACTTACACACTGAACAGTAGAACATTTTTAACTCTGCTGTCACAAAGTATGAGCTCGGTTTTCAATGCAAGGTTTAAAGGGTGGGAGACGACAGAGAAAAGCTTGCTGAATTATCTGCACAACATGGGGAGAAGCAACAGGTCATCCACGGTGTAGTACCCCTGGAGGTGAGTCAGTGTGTTGCTCAAGGACACTTCAACAGAGCGGTTACTTACACTGAGACAAGCGTACGAACGTAAGCTTCTATACTCTCTCCTCTGACCTCTAATCAACCACACCACCACTGCTTAACTTAGCTGACCTGCATAACCTACAACTATCGATTAAGCGATCATAATTGCTATTTATTCAGGAGTCTACAATACATTCTCTTCCATCGTTTGAGGATGATGCATCACCATAGTGCAGCGCAGCTACTTAGCACAGCATCCTGGGGGACTGGTTACAGCACATTACTAACATTCTCTTATCATACTCATACTGAATAAAACTGCTGTTTTACAATGCTGCGCCATGGCTCAGACATCTACTGTATGTCAGATCCCTGATATAGCAGGGTGCTCGTTTACTTTCTTAGCCCGGTTCGTTTACAGTCATCTCATTTGTAAAACATGCATACCGTATCTTTTCTGAAACTCGCTGACCTCTCTCTTTCTGTCTCGCTCATCGTTTTATCTCATTCGGTCTCTGTCTATCTTCCGCTGCTGTTTCATCCTCCCTTCGCTCCACTCCAGCTTTCTCCACCACCACATTCTGGGCCGGTAAATGAGCGGGCTTATCTGGGCCTAATTGGTTTAAGGGCAAACATAAATAAGCAGTGGCTTTCTAAGCAAAGCAGTATTACTGCTGCTGTTGGCAAGTAGTGGATGCATACCAGAGAGACAGTGAGCTGAAGAAGCGATGAGAGAGATGAGAGCGGAACCGGGAGATGAGGGAAGAAAACTAGGAACAACAGAGTAGGGTAGACAAACGAGGAAAAGAGGAGAGCTGTGAAGAAAAGTGAAGATAATAAGGAGAAGTCTTTTTTTCACTGCTACCATACAGAGCCCTGTCTTCACACTTAACTGTTATAACCTTCTGCTCCTGTTCTGACTGCCTCTCTGCACCTTTTCAATAGCTCGCCAGTGAATGTGTTTCTGTAAGTTGATACTTTGCCTTGATGTGTGGTGTAGTATTTATGCTGCAGCTGGAGTTTAAATCCACCTTCGAGACAAATAGACTGGTACTTATATAGTACTTTTGTACTCAATTTGAATAATCAAAGCACTTTTTTTTACAACAACCCTCATTCACCGGCTTTAAACTGACGCTCACACATTCACGCTGTGGCAGATTCATCGGGTACACTACAGGAATTGAACCACCGTCCGTCAACCACCTGATATGATGACGCAAGCCACTCGTCCTCCTGAGCCACAGCCTACCGCCCATGCAATCACACTTGGAGTACTTCTTCCTTATAATTTTCATCCCACAGTTCATCAGTACGTGGTCTTGAGGGTCTGAATCGATGATGTAATTGTTGTTTACTGCGACCATATGCGTAAGGTCAAATAAACCATTCAATTCATCACAATCAGCCTTCTATATGGTCGTGGCTCTAAAGTTACACGGATACCCCGACACCCGCCGCATACAAACAGATCCCTGACACTTTGTGATTATCAGCAGATTTGGACTAATCAGATTAAGGGTGACAGGATAGGCAGGGATAATGTGATCAATGGCCCCCGCTCAATCCCTCTCGCTTTCTCTCTCTCGCACACACAGACAAAAAAAATGAAAGAGCAACAGATTGGAGTTCAGATCAGCAAAGATTTTAACCTTCCCATGGGGCAACCTCCTTTCAATTAGCATCAAAAAACAAGGAAATCACTTTCATCCTTGTTACTGAGGTAACCCAGGGGCCATCTCCCTGCCCATCTGCTTCAGTCCCATCCCGTTTTTTTTTTTTCAAAGCAGAAATCCCACACCTCTTTCCAAGCAGGGAATTTTTTTTCCTCCCTCTCATCCTCCACTCATCTCTCCAAAATTACATTTCTTGCTGTCATTTCACACAGGGTAAACATTTGAACCTCAGAATATCCATTCTTGCAGAGGTAGCAATTTGGGCCTGGGCTTGGTATCCATATCAGTGTCGAAATCTGATGAGCACAAACAAGAAAGCCACCGCCAAATTATAGAGTACCGCCAGAGCTGGGGACAGCCCAGGAGGAGAGTTGTAAACGATTAAAGAGAAAACCTGTGTGTGAGAAAACACATTTTAACTGTGCTTTTAATTTACTTGTTTGTGGGAGTGGATACAGACACCCAAGGGGAAGCCGGTGTGCTTTAGTGTATGTTATATTAGAAAGAGGCTGCTACTGTACAATAACACGAGAGAAGACACTATATATCCACCATGCCTCTGGGCTATCCTTGCAGCAGATAATGTCGCAGGCAACAGCCTAGTGTCCGGTCCCTGGGGTCCCACAGCGGAAATGAAAAACATGTTTAACTGAGGTGATATTGGCTACCACTCTACTGACACCAACGCTTGTCCAGATGACTGTGAGAGGGAACAGAAAGGAAACAGGAGCAGATGCGGACACAGATAGAGAAGGAGGAAAGGAGATGCACGAAGAGAAGAAAAAAATCAGGGCATAGTCGACAGAAAGGGAGAGGCTATTTTTTGTAGTTGCTTTCCAGTTGTAAAAAGACGTAATGCAATCCAGCATAAAGTGCATTTTGGGAAACTTCCCATCAACACAGTCTAATAGAGTTTGCCTCGCCAATTCAAAGTGCCACAGAACAATGCACGGTGGATTTTCGTTGTAGTAATTTAGTTTAATTTAAAAAAAAAAAAAAAAAGGAAAATAAATGCGAGCGCTTGCATCCCCCTGAGAAAACACTACTTAGGGGAAAAAAGGAAATATAAGAAAATAACATAAATAATAACGGAGGCTTCTGCTGGCTTGCACTTATGTATAGAATAAAGACAAACAGTCACTGATAAACTATCACACGCTGCTGTGAACGCATTTTAATCATGCAACGTCTCGTTCTTCACAAGTACGAGTTACACGAGCGGAGCCGGAGGATGCTGCTCTGAAATAACTGGATGCCCACAGCGACCCACGTGCATGGCATCGCTCTGCATGCCACGGACGCAGCGCTGCCTCACACAGAACCTTGCATGCATCCCCACACTACAAAGCGCCCCTCGGAGAGAGTCATGTCCACATATACGGCAAGTATTAGTCCCAATTTCTTATTTACCTTCCATCGCAGAGGATGTGATGACCAGCACGCATAAGAGCGCAAACAAATCCACTGTCATGGCAGAAGGGTAGTCTCCACAGCCTGTCCCCCAAATAACCAAGACGCACGGGGCGCGTCAAAAAGAATCCCAGTTGTCAGAGCGGTACTCCAGCAGATAGCCTCTGTTGTGTGTCACATTTCAAGCCGTAGTAAACAATGTGTGACAATCAGTGCGAGGAAGGAGCGAAGTGTAGCGAGCAAGGGGGTGCGAGGCAGGGAGGGGGTGTAGGTGGAGTAGGTGGGGGAGACCCGACATTGCCTGCTCACAGCCCCATTAGAGGGCCGGGGCCAATCACCGACTGGTAGCTGAAACTCACTAACCAATCGGTAACCCGGCGCTCCTCCCACCGCACATTGTCAAAACACAAAACTTTTCCTTGACCTATTTGAAGCGGTATCCGCTACAGTGAAGGGAAATAACGCCACCAGTCGGCTCAGAGCTGCACCTACAAGTCAAGCAAACCTAGAGTCGAGCTTACCCCGTAAAGCTTGACTCTGACTGTGAGAACCACTTGCTCTACAACCCATCCACCTTTGGTTCAAAGTATCATTTCATCAGTCTCTTAAAAATCACAGCTGATTTCATTTTGAATCACTTTGAGTGGACTTCCCAGATACGCGAATGAATAATAAAGCTGATTTTATAGCTTGGCAGCTTCACTTGTGCCCACAGGTTCAAGCCCTATTTGCACTGAAAATGCTCTTTAATAGCTTTGACAAATTCAGCTGTACCTCCTAATGATATGAAACAGGCGTTGCACATCAGCTCCCTCCCGTTGTCCCCGTCACCCCTTTTGTGTGCGTCTGTGAGGCAACAGATGGTGCACACAATGGGCTTTTCCCTGCAGGGACACAGAGGGCCAGGGTCCGCTTCAGCGGAGGGAGGGACAGTTGCTGCCCTGTAGCCCAGAACCATACACCTGTCTTGGGATAGATGTGTCCCCTTACCCGTGTCCCTGGAGCTGAAGAATTGGGATGGAGTTGTTAATCTGCAGCCTGAATAGGTCTGAATTTACCCCAGGCCACTGGCTGGCCTAATACTTCAGTGCTGTCCCTTCACAATACACTGTCCCAGATACTTTTCACCTGCTTTCGTTTTACTGGACATAAAGGATGACTTTTATCTTGGGGGTTTTATTATTGTCCACAGCTTCTAAAATTACTGTATATGTCTTAAGGTTATAGCATAACGGAATACACTTAAATATGTGCGGCATTTATCCAACAACACTTGAGCTGTTTTGACTGCTTTCTATCTCTTTTTTTATTCTGCTCCCAACCTTTGCAATGACAAAAATGAAAGGTGACTCACATTTAATAAATGGTTGTCCCAATTGTGGCAAACTCCAGCTGATGAACTGGGGCAGACACAAGGCTTCAGGAGCATCAGGCAGCGGTTGCTAACCTGGGGAAGCAGCTGATGAGGGCATTTGTCATTTTTAATGGTGTGGTGAGGAGTGGCACTACGATGTGGCATGGCACAGCGCAGCACGGGCTCTGGTACTGGCTGGTTTTTCAGTCTTTCGTAGCCACCTGGCCTTATTTTTCACCCGGCCAGTCATCATCACCTATGACTCCACAGGTCATCTCCAAGTACAGGAGAAATCTGTCCCTGTTTGCCGTGCACACCCTGGGGATGAGGAAGGAAGGAAGAGTAGGGGAGGGAGGAACAATAGAGCGGCTGCTGTAGCACATCCTCCCTTACATTACACTCACGGCCAAACAAGCACATAGAATAACACGGATGCGCGTGCACCCGCTCTCCCACACAGCACTCTGATAATGATCCACGCAAAGCCGAACAAGTACTTGCCTACTTCAGCTTGAGAGCCCCGGCCCAATACCAATAGTGAGCCCGAACGCATTGTAGAGAGCCTCTCATTCTCTCGGTGGCCTGATTTTTTTTCAGCATGGTTAAGCCTACAATTGCACCATCCCTGTTCTATTTTCATTTCTCTGTTCCAACACCAGAATCATATCAAATCAAAAGGTACCTGCACCAACAGGGGTATTCTCGGAGTTGTCTGCGATTAAATCTTTTTTGTGCACTATACACTCTGCGAGTTGACCCTAAATTTATTGAGTTTTTGATCTGTCAACATTCAGCCAGTGTCTTCCACTCTAAGCCCAATGTGTTTATTCCCATTCGGTTCCCAAAAAGAAAAAAACAACAACACCAACAACAAAAGTGGTGTTTAGTTAGTTCTGTACAGTGATAACGACATTAAAAAGAACAAAAGGAACCAGGAATACACAAGAAAGACTTTTTAGGATGAAAAAATAAATAAGTGGGGACAGCAGTGTTTGCTCAAACTTACTCATTATTTAGATTTGTAGTAGCAGGTATAGCAGGTGACAAGCAGACAGAAAAGATAATGGTCCAGAACAAGAAAGGCAGGAAAGAGAGATGTTTCCCAGACACAATAGAAGCTGGGAAGGTTTGTCCGGTGATGAATATGAATGCCTGAAAATGAAATGCCTAAGTCAATATAGAGACAGCGCAGGGACTCAGGTGACAGAGGAGTGCAGTGCTACACCCACCCTGAGGGTATAGACTGGTTATTAGGCCAGACTTTAGCTTCATCCATCTTCAGGAGACTGTGTGCTGGCCATTGACAATATGAGTACAGCGCTGGTGCTGAATACAGATGTGCTTTGGACCAGTGTTCTCCAAATACAGGGTCAGGACCCACTGCGAGTCCCAGGCACAGTTGTACTTTCTGGGTCACAGCTCAAGAGAGGAGATGGAAAATCAGCTCATTGTAGGGAATATATGATGGCGGCTAGTTTTGCCTAAAGATGTATTTTTTTAAAGGCTGCCCTGCCAAACTTCAGTCTCTTTGGAAATGTACTGAAAAATACAAACAAACAGTTTTTCCCTGAGGTAATTGCAGATAGAACTGTAAAAACTATAATATACTTATAAGTAAAATAAATAAATAAATTCTTCTTTTTTTTTCCTGAGTAGAACGACTCTCTGGCAGTAGGTCAGACAAGGACACGGGACTGTATCTAAATACAGCCCTCTCATTAATCTGCCCATGATGCCAAATCTGATGGTACCTGTCCCCTGCTATCAGCACACAGTCTCTTCAGAGATATTCATTACACTTTGCTGACGAAGAGCACAGACACACAGACAGGCTGCAGAAGTGGAAACAACCAAACAAACCAATGCAAATGGACACGACAATACCAGTGTGCACATGCAAGATAGACATAATAAATATTTAGGCTATCATGTGAGAATGTGAAAGAGATACAAGAGATCCGTTTCTCCTCCTTGGAGAGGCTGCAAAGACGGTGTTGCTGTAGATTGACTCATAAGTCATTAGCTCACATCAGTTCTATTCAAGATTCAAGCACGTTGTTACCATTAATCCAAATAACACAATGAGGAGATTGTACTCAGCATTAAATGAGTAAGAGCATCATCACATTTTTCAAGTGTGTGTGTGTGTGTGTGTTTATACAAGATTCAGTGAGTCAATGTTAAAGAGGATGTGTTAATGAGAGTTTTACCTGTTATGCTTTATACATTCAGAGAGAACAGATTTTTAAAATTAAAGCATAGAAATAAATAAATACATAAATTCATAAATTAAAACCGAGATTCATCTTTTTACAAGTAGTGATTAGATTACAAGTTTCACCTGCTCTTTCACTTTTGGTGGAAGTCCAAGAGACATGTGCAAGCCACAGATTAGCAAACCAAATTTTGGGGTTGAAAATTTCATCTTTTTTTTTTGGAGTACGGTGTCAATAGTTTTGCCCTTAATTCTATTTTTTTTAAATTGCTGCATAAAACAGACAAAAGAAACTCCATATGTATGCACACTTAAATCTGCACATGTGGAGTGGCTGATTGCAACACACCAAACCACACACACACATGGAAGCGCGTGCGCACACACACACATGTAAGCACAGAAGCACAAAAAAAAAACCCCATGTGAAATCCAGTACCATCCAAAATCATGTACGTGCTTGATAATGATTCGCTGATTAATTGTTTTTTTCTTGATGGCCTTGGTGATTAGGATGCATTCATTTGCTTGTGATTAGGGGTCTCTAATCACAGATAAGGTTAATGGGGTTCTTCATTCACTCCCCTACTTTGTTTCTCTTGGAGCATTTAAGAAGCTTTCCTATTAACCGTATGGCCTCAGCCCCCTTCTGTTGTAATACACCTTTCAATTTATGCACCAACCTTTCCCACTGCCGTCAAAAGAGGCGCCTTGACAACAACAACATTTGACACATGGTAGATTGTGTTTTGTATCGCTGAACATGTTATCATGGGGCACTCAGCCAGAGAGGATCATAAAGTAGTTTTCTGGCTACAAATGCCGCATTTAGGAAAAGGACTTCTTAATGAGGAAAAACAAAACTAGACTGACAGCTCATCGCTTCATGTCAGCGCCCAGTGACAGGCTATCCCACTTGTTTTTGTCGAACCGTTTCTCTCAATAGGACACTATCAAAATGCAGCCCTCTGTCTCCTCTGACCTGTCCTTTTCTCCCTTCCCTGGCCTGTGACAGATAGTTGAGTACAATCTATCAACCTCAGTCTGCCTTGGTCAGGGCCAGTGCTTTGTAAGGCTAGGCATAAAGAACAGACATACACACACCACACACACACACACACATATACACATTCCTGAGTCTGTCACACTAAATGGGATAAACATCCAGTGTTGGAGAGAGACAGAAAAACAGAGGTCAAATCAATCTGCCCTCCGTCTGCCATACACTGATCCCTGTCATAGGCTGACCTCTCCAACAAATGAAACTCCAGTGATGCATTTGAATACCAAGACAGCAGCACTTCAGTCTGGCTTTAACACAGACGATGGGAGTGAATGAACTCATTGCTGGTGGGTCTTGTTTAGTCAGATGATCATTTACTGCTTCTTAAGTGTTGCCCCCTCAGTATTTTGGAACAGGTAATATGACACGGGTTATTATTCAGTTTAATAATTATATGCTCCATTAAAACAACAAACACTTTGATACAAAAAGCTCATTATATAATAAACTTCCTTATTATTGTAAAACCAACAACAACAACTTCAACGACAAAAAAAGAGAATTTACTTTAAATACGTGGTTTATACTCAGATAACAGCATTTTTTGAAATTTTCTCACTTTCTTTTGTTCGTCTCGGCCCTAAAGACTGAATGTGTTGTCCTCTTGTGCTACAAATAGGAGCGGTGAGGAGAACTACTCCGGCAGCAGTACTTTAGTTGCCT